AATGGCTCAGTTAAATACAAAATGTATTTCATTACCACTGCTGATTGTCTAAGAGACGCAAGACTCTAAAGGCCATTTGGAAGTCTTTCAGCGCGGCTTGACATTAACAGGTACAGCAAAATTGAGTCACTTGATGACTAAGTATCCATAATCCAATCACACATTGCGGGTAGGTGCTTAAAGCGTTATGAAGACCCGTTTTAATATGAGCCCACCGTCACAAACTCATGATACGGCCTTTATTACTATATGATAGCCGGTTGCAATAATTCATGTCGTAAATAAAGTGGTTGGGTATAAAAAATGAAATGTTTTTAGACAAAACGATACTATGAACATCTACCGGATCAGTCAAAAATTAATCACAACTAGTTTTACATTAAGAATAACGAAACATCTGGTCTGCGGTCGTCGATTTTCTTCTGGGACTGGCACCCAATTCGCCGTATTTATTTGTAACGATACAGTTGTTGTTATAATTGTATATTTAACTACAAGATCCTTGCGAGGGTACGGTGGTGTTCTGCTCAAGTCACCTTCATGCTAGTAATCGCCTAGCCAGGCTAATTCCAGGCCCCTTTGCCACATGACGCCTTCGGGACACCTCACATTTCATCAATCACACAAAACAGCGTCCCAAATTGCAACTAAAAAATAATGCAGCAGTTCAATTAAATTTTATGTGCCCCTATTGGACCATTGAATTTCCGGTGATTGTTTATGACCCTATAAAACTAGTCTAAATGGGCAGAAACTCCGAGAAAGTTTTACTCGATTAATAAATAGTAGTCAAATAATCAAACTTAGGCAAATAATGTAAACCTAATTTAATACCTGTTTGAAAGTTGTATTAGTCAAAAGCTGAAAAAGGCACGTAGAAAGCTGTTTCAAAATAACGCTTTTGTTTCTAAGTACTATCCTAGAATTATTTGAGTAAATATAACTCCGTAAATGTAACAATAGTTACAAACGCATAAATTTTCTAGCACATAAAATAATCTAGGCGCGTTACCTCCCGGAAATTGCCTATAATAAATTTTCCAATTATAGTTAATGCTCTCATTTAATGTATAAAACATTCAGATTTTAGTATCCAAGTGTGCAAAAAAAGGAGTTTGGTAAAGTTCAAAGGACTTTTTAAGAATAAAACTGAGCGGTTACCTCACGCCGCATTTGATTTAGGCTTTAAATAACTTGAGGCTACTGTGGAAAGAAATCACAGTAAGTCCAATCGACTCCTTTCAATGTCGATAAATTTTGACCAAAAAATACGCGTTTCTTTAAATGATCACAGTGGAGTGAACCATTGGATGGTTTAAACAGCTAAATAGGGGTGCTAAAATGCGCCAAAATACCTCAACGTTATGCAAAAAGCGTCACACTGGGATGTTTTTTCTAGTCTTTAAGAAGAGACAATATAATTACCCGAGAAACATCAATCTTTTTCTTCAACTCTGCTGCAAGAAGTTGTGACAGAAAGGTGTTTTGTTTTTAACCCCCGGTGCAAGTTCCCTTCAACGAGAATTGGACCGAAGTGGATGTGATGTCATTCAAGTTGCCAAGATGGATTTTAATTCACATTTCTTAATCATTAGTGTGATGCTGTCTGTTTTAAAATGCATCAATCTAGTAGAAACGATAAAGCATAATGCTTCCAATGCTGCTTCTGCCACCAAAGCGTAGCTGAATTGAAAGAGTAGTAAATTGAGGTATATTGCTTGGTCTTCAGGTGCCAAGTGCCCCTCTTCTAACTTACTTAGAGATCACATTTAACTATCTAGTTGTAAATGTTAATGTTAATGAGTAGCTTTTTGCGATCATGGATTAAATTAAAAAGGAAAATGGGTACATTTATCCTGCCTTTCCAAAAACTAGATTACGTTTACTTACTTCGGTGGTAGCAAAAATAATTGCTAACTTTGACTGCCAACAAAGTAAAAACTTAATTGACATATTTTCATTTTCATACTCCTGCTGTTCTGAATTTTTAAATTCTTCAACCTGCAGTTAAAATTTGAAAGATTATGGAGGAAGGAAGGTGATCTTGTAAGCAAATATCGCATTACTAATACATTCCATACTTGGTTAAGTGAGTGATTTAAATAAAAATAACTATATAGGAATTGACCTGCTAAGAAGAGCATAGTGCTTTGTTAGTTGGAACAAGCAAATTTAAAACCTATAATTC